TTAATCTAACACAACATTTAGTACCAGGACACAAATAATTTCCAGTTTCCTATATAAATACACAATTTAATACTAGACTAAAAGGAAAATAGTTATTTTTCTTCAACACTAAACGCTCTTTAAACACAAGTAAATATTCATTAAATATGTATCAAAGTGTAACCCTCCTGAGAGACGATCAGGAAATCACCCACCGTTACTGAATATAGAACAGGCCCGGTCGGAGCCAGGTGAGCTGTGGTTCTCTGTTGTGGGATTGAGACATATGGTGGGAGGAATAATCTGACAGCGACTGCCGGACGACCACCGGGCCTCAGTTTAAACCAAAGCTGATGAAGCTTAGTGAGAAATTAAGACAAAACCTTTTCAGCAGATCAGAGAAGCGGACGAGAGACCAGGACCGCAGGACCGTCACACGAGTCCTCTTAATGTCATTCATTCATCTTCACTGTCGGAGCATCATCTTCCTCGTCCACCACCAGCAGAGTGTCTCTGTTTATATGTTATCCTTCACGTTTTTGCAGAACATCAAACCTCTGAATAGACATTCTTTGGCAGATGTCAGGTTGATCTATATCCCTGATTGGATATTCCTACTCTGATCAAACGTGTGATCAATCGTGTGATCAGTGAAGTCACTTGATAAATGTATCTCAATGTGTCATGAGCTGGGTCTTGGTTACTAGAAACCAAGTCCACCCACAAAACCGTCTACGACCCAGCGCAACCTCGTCTGCTGCTCACGATATTTCATTTGTCTCGGTTTCTTTTTACAAACCCAGTGAGCACAACCTCTTCACTCGCTCTACGTTCAGCCACTGAGCAGCTTTGGTCTGGGCCTCGCTCAGGACCGTCTCAGTCATTAGTCTCTCAATCTGTGTGGGGTTTTAACCTGCCCGGGCGCCGGTCTGCCTCTCTGATCTTTGGCCCAGTGTCAGCCTGAAGTGGAGTGAATCAGGGAAGACTCCTTCCTCTCTGCTGTGGTGTCTCCTTCCACACCTTCTGGAAGGTCTCTGCCTCCGTCCAGGAAGCTAATCAGCGGTGTTGTGAGTGATTTATAACAGGCGCGCTGCTCGCCGCTGTCTGGCAGGCGGTGATAGCGCCCGGGAGAGCTGTTAGAGCCGCCGGCGTGGAACCAACCGTGTCCAACAGCACCACAGAGGACTCCACGCCACCGCCACCGCTGCTGCTGCTGCTTCTGGATGATGTGAGGAAAAATCTAAAGTCTGAGCGTGATAGAGAGACGACAAACCAACAGCAGCTGGATGAAAGGCGGTGTGCCAAATGAGTCCACCAGTCTGTCTTGGTGTGGTGCCAGTGGAGCCCAAAATGGAGCCGCGAGCCAATCTGAGCTGTGTAAATATTAATCCAGTCAACATGGAGGGGGTCTAATGAGTCATGTTGGGTCCTGTTTAAACAACCAGCTCAGGTGATGACATAGTGGTGATGATGAAATCCGCAATTTTAAATATTTCACATGAGAACAAACCGATCTGTTCTTACATCATCTAAACACAGCAGAGGTCTGAGGATCAGGACCAGGACCAGGACTCGAGTTAGACTGGGTCCATATTCAGGGGTGGACAGTAACTAACGATATTTACTTCATTGCTTTATATTTTTGAAATATCTGCACTTTACTTGAGTATTTATTTATTTATTTATTTATTTTTTTGATAAACTTGACTCTTACTTTGAAGCTTTTTATCAGTGGAATAAATTTTATTTTATTTTGAAAAATGTGACAGACCATACACTGTGTTTATCACAGGACAAAAACAATCACAGCCAACTCCTCCACCGTCAGTCACGTTTGAACCTGTCAGTGTCGTAACCATGGCGACGTTAGATAAAGATGAGGCAGAAGATTCTTCAACAGAGACCCTGCTCTGATCTGAAGTCTGTATTTGAAGGTTTAGTTTGAAATGTTTGCTGTGTTCACCACCACCACGCTTCATCACTGACTAAAAAAAATGAATTGTCCAACTTGAGAAAACAGGGTTTATCAAGGTTTGTGACGTAGTTTCTGTTTTTATGATGTGGATGGTCAGATGACTTCTACAGGCTGTTCATTCTCCAGGTTCTACAGCAGAGGTCTTCAAACTTTGATCAAATCAAAGGGGCTGAGAGTTCCTCATGTCTTATATTACTGGTTACATTTACTCACATATCGTATCAAAACTCTCAAACTGGTCTCCTGCCTGTGTATTTGATTTAGTTCATTTGGAGTAGACTTACTGTATGAAGTTTTGTTGCTTCAAGTTTGAACTATGCATCCATGGTTTGTACTTTATTCTCTGAACCTTTAGGTGAGCGACCCTAAAACAGGGGGGAGCTCGCAGGGCCACATGTTGGAGACCCCTGAGCTACAGTCCGTCAGTCAGCAGGTTGTTGTCATTAGGTTCTGTAAATGTGGAACAATCCAGCAATGTGTTTTTTTTCAATAAAAATTTTTTTTAAACATGAACTCAAATAAAAAATCTGACTGAACAACTTTCACTTGTATTGGAGTCTATTTGACCCTGAATGCTCTGACTCCAGTGATGGAGCTGTCTCCACCTTTGTCCATATTACACTCAGGTAGAGTCTCTGCTCTGGTCTGTGTTTCTAATGGATCCAGATCAAGTGTTGTCATCACCCCAGCAGAAAACATTTGAAAAAAATTACAAGACTTTTACTTTTAAAATACAATTGCTTCTTTTTAATATTTGTGTGGAGGTAGATTTGTCTCAGTTTTATTTGTGTGAACAACTTGACAATCTGTGTGTAAATGTGCAATCTGTAAATATGAAGCACCTTCCACAAATACAAAAAAATACATTTTGTAAACTCACAAAAATATCTTGCAAATATAAAGCAGATCTGCAAGTATACAAACAAATCATATCTGTAAATACATTTTATTCATTTACAAATAAATGGGAAGTATTTGTGAATATCTTCCTAACATTTACAACTTTCAAACAGATATTTGTGAATAAAATTTCTATTTGTGAGGCGGAAAAGCATTTGTGGATCTCAGTTCTACGCTTGTGGATTTACATTTTACACACACAGAGTTTTGAGACAAACTCCACTGTCATTTCTTTACCATTGAGTTTATTGTAACCATTCAGTCCATTTGCTATGTACAGCATAATTGGTAGAAAATATCATGACAACATGGAGGCTATACTCAGTTGGCAGTTATCTTCCTTTGTCCTGTACACTCACTGGAACGGCAAACTCATCTTACAGGTGGTAATAGTGACTTCTTATTCATGCACTCATTTACTGTGTATAATTTTTGTTTTGGTGAGTAACATAAAGGGAACTACAACTGGCACTTCTCCATTTAAAGCTTTTATTGTAAATATCCAGTTGGGAGGCAGCTAGCGGCTAGCTTGCCCCCAGTGGGCCAATAATAATAATAAATGTAAAAATACAGAAATAGCAGTTTTTATTACCAAAATATTTTTATTTTACATTTATTTGTGTATTTATTTATTTCGGCATATATTGATTTATTTTATTATACTTATGTAATTTTTGGTCCCTCATAGTTTTCTGCTTTGTATTTGTACACAGATGTTGACACAAAGACACTTTCACAGTGTCTTTGTGTTACCTCACCACTAATGTCATTTGTTCACAAATTTAAATCAATCTTTTTTTTTTTTTTTTTTACATATACAAATCTCTTCAACACAAGCACAATTTCTTCACATGTGCAAACTTGAATTTCTCCTGCATATTTATTTTACAGGTTTTTAAAGTACATTTGCCTCGCAACTTTCCATTACAGGACATTATAGGCAGCCGTTCAAAATACAGTCCCGAGTAACAATTTTACTTAAAATTCATTTCACTTCCCATTACTAACTGAGTCAGGTGGAAGTTATGCACATGTATGTGTTCTAGGATTATACTGGATTTTTACTTGTACTTGAATGTGAGCAAAGCAGTAGAAGCAGTCAGCAGGTTCCATTTGAAAGTATTTAATCTGTTGCTTGCCGTCAGTCAGGTGTGAGTGGTTATATTTCTACAAATGAAAGAAACATCAATCAATACATCAATACATTCTCACGCTAAATGGGCGATATAACCATGTGAGAACAAACCAAGGAGATGAGATGTACTACTTAACAACAAAATCAACATGACTTGAGGAACTATTATGAAATAAATTCACTCAACACACTCAGGGACAAAGGTGAAGGGCAAACAGAGAATGAGCTCAGGACACAGAACAAAGAACACTCAGGTCACCTGTGTGAGCTGGCCAGTTAGCACACCTGTTCTCCTGCTGCTCTTCAGCTCAGCAAGGTCAAGGTAATTAAAAAGAAACTGCAATAATCCAATTGGCATCTTCATTGTCACATCTGAGTTTAAAGTCGGAATTCTAAAAAAAAAAAAGAATTCACCTGTGGCCCTACTCCTAAAACATGTACATCCCTGATCATCCTATTTTCTGCATTTTGCAGGTTCCATTCAATATTAAGGAGTGCGTGCGTGCGCGCGCGTGCGTAAGGGGCGTGGAGGTGGAGGGGTGTGTATTGCATCCTCTCACGTGACCAGCCTGTCTGTCCTCTCCTCCTCAGTCCAGATCTCTTTGTTGTGGTTGCAGCTGCTGCTCTCTTTACGCACCGCGTCTCCGCTCCGCACCGCACCGCACCGCTCCGCCGGAGCCTCGAACATCCTCATATATACCGCGCGGAAAACGCCGCCGGAGCGCCGTGATACTCACTCGTCCTGGGGGATCGGGACGTGCAGGGGTCGTTACGTGTTCGACGTCCGACAATTATAATCTGTATCAGACAAAATCTGACGCGGAGCTTCGGTGCGGAGGAAGGACGGACGGACGGCGAGGATGCTGCCGCTGTCTCCTCTGCCTCTACCCTGGACGAACCGGACCGCCTCCGAGGCTTCCTGAACGCGGAATCAGGCGAGGAGCTGTCTACACATTCCTCCATCGTCACCACAGACTTCTGCACTTTGTCTGCTCCTCTCTCTCTCTCTCTCTCTCTCTCTCTCTCCGGTCTCTGGCGCTCTGCTTTCAGCGGGGCACAGCGCGAGGCAGCCGGGGTGTTTTCTGCTGCTTCACCGGGGATTACAACGCTAGACTGTCCGCACGCCTCTGCACCTGAACCGAAAACCGAGTTGAACTGTCTCAGCCGGTGTCTGGAGGTTGGATCATTATCATCACCTCCATTATGATCATGGTGTCAGGCCCTGGGAGGTGTCCCGGCGGGGTTATCCGGTGCCTGGTGTCCGCCTGTCTGCTGTCTCTGCTGCTCTACCTGCCTGAGGCGCGGGCGTCTTATTATCCACAGAGCGGGGAGTGCAAAGGCAAAGGGAAGGACTGCACAGGTAAGAAAGCCGCTGCTGCTGCTGCTGCTGCTGTGTGATGCGTCTGGTGTGGGTGCACCTTGTAAAATAATCACTTTCATATGGGAGGGAACGAGCTGCACCTGTGGGTTCACACTGCAGGGAGAAACCAGTGATGTGGATTTAAGATGTCTCCTGTGACTTCCTGTGTGTCAGAGTTTATTGTGACCTTTGCACCTCATGAGGAATCATATGAGTCTAATTATAGAAGAGTTCTCTGCGATCGAGTGTCTCATGTTGCTGTTGGTGTGTTTGTGCTCTGCACTGAAGTTTCCAGCCCAGTGAAAGATCTGAGTCTCATTAATGTTCCTGCAGAAAATCAATGTTATGTCTGTAATATTGAGTATTGGAAGGTAACTGAAGGTATTTGGACCTGCTGCAGTATCAATACATCCTGACAGGGATGGAGTTTATGACATTTATTGCATGTTATCATCATTGTGTTAATGCTGGAGACGTGTAGAAGCTTCTGAGGGTCAGATGATGTTCAACCACAGCGACTTTATCTTGGCATTTTTAAATATTATTAGTTTGTCACTGACAGTTTTGGTCATGATACGTTGTTTTAATATGAATACTATGTGGTGGCAAATGGAAATTTCAGTTTCCACAATATAAAAATTTGGATGTTTTTTGTGTTTCATCTAATTTAAATTTCAGTGTTTTACAACAGTTTTATTTATTGAGCACATGTATTCATCACAAATAAACTCATTGCAGCAGTACGATAAATACCACGTGCGGATGCAACAAATGAAAGATGAACAAGTCACTTTAGCTGTAAAACGAGGCAAATCTTAATATCAGTCTCATATCCTATATTTCATATAGGAGGTGGTTTCAAAGAGCTTTATAGACTTTACATTTCCCTCGAGCCAAATGACATCAGTGAATTATGCTCCCTGACTTCAGCACCTGCCTGTCTGCAGTCACTCAATGGATGAGCAGTAATGTTTTAAAGTTGGCCCCAAAGCCAAAAGAGACACTTTCTACCAGGCTTGGAAACTTAAACAAGCAGAATAAAATAGAAGTAACAAGTCCGGGTGTCATCTTAGATTCTGATCAAAACAGCTTTTCTTACACTCTTTTTACTGGTCTTCCAAAGAAAGTCAATCGAGAAACTGCAGCTAATTCAGAACTGTGATGAAAAGAAGGAGAGAGCAGATTACTCCTGTACTGGCTACACTACACGGGCCCCCTCTAACCTAAGTCCTTCCACTTGTATATGAAACTCTTAATGGTTTGGCACCCTTTACATCACTAATGAACTGTCCCTCTGCCCTTAGAGTTTCCAGGGACAGTCCCCTGTTTTGGTGGCCTTTGGTGGCTGGAGCTGTCGCCCAAAATGTCCCCATATTTTACTGTAATTAAAAATAGTGTTGCGCTGGCTGCTATAGCAGCTTCAGAAGTGAAGCTAAAACCAACAAAATATAGTTATCCAATTAGGTTTTTATTTTTTTTTCGTTGTTGTCTCTTGGCAGAGAAAAAGTTAGCTGGCTCACTCGTTGGTTAAGAGTTCATAACTGGGCAGTAAACTAACAAAAGCAAACATACTCACAGCCTCCCAGCAGAAACTTGAACATTTTTATGTGTCATCCGACTGTCACTTCACATGACAATATTCACCTTTTATGAAAAATGCTTTTGATTCTTTTGATCTGTGGACCCTTATGAACTAAAGGAATATAAATAATTGAGGAATAGATAGATAATAGGACTTCAGGACTGCTTCAGATAACACTTTCTTAAACTTTAACTTTACAATTCAATGGAAAAACTAATAAAAAATACATTAAAAATATATTTTACATCCTAATATAGACAATTAATACAATATAAAAATTTATAAAAATAAATTAGATCAACTATGTTGTAACATTAGTATACTTCTACAACCTACTGAAAACTAAACGGGGTGAAATTTGTTGTGAAACGAAATGTGGCACAATAATCTTTTTATCTCGATTATCTTGTTTTCATAATCATTGGAAGCCAAAACCGTAATCAGAAATAAAATTAGATTAATCGCCCAACCCTAATTTGAAATGATTTTTTCACATTTAAAAGTCCAAACTATTAGTAACTGCATTGATTACTGAGAAATACTACAACATAAAAATATTGGTCTACTTTCACTAGTACGGTATCCTACGCAATATTGTGTAATGTTATCAGCAAAATGTAATAAAAGTAAAAGTGTCCATTACATAATCTGGCCCCTGTCATAGTATTTCAGAGAAATAGTTTATTATTATTGATGCACTGACATTTAAGCTGAATATATATATATATATATATAATGCTGTAGCTGGTGGAGCTGATTTGAACCACTTTATATGTACATGTATATTCAGCAGGTAACACTGCATTATATTTAGATATATTAGGACAACAGGTACAAATCTCCATTAATAAAAAGCTTAAATGAATATATTAGAGGTAGAGAAGTGTTTCTGTCACTCAGCCTTCCTGCAATATATCCTGACAGCGATTATAGACCCTGCTATCTGCAATCATGTTTGTATCCTGCTGCATTAATATATAATATTCATGAATTCATTATAGTGTTGTCCTGCTCTTTCTCTTTAGAGTTTTTAAATTAAATATTTAAAAGAAAAAAACAGCAGTCATGTAAATGAGTGTTAGCTGTCACTCTGGAGTGTCTGGAATAACCTGCTTCCGCCATGTTTTATTAATGAACCACTGAATTGGCTTTTTCTTGTGCTGTTTGCATTGAGAAGTGGAGCGTTTTCCTCACAGATGAGTGACGCTGCCATCCTGATCCCTGCTCTCTCTCTCTCTCTCTCTCTCTCTCTCTCACACACACACACACACACACCCACCCCACACACAAATACCTATAACACAGAAAGTGTCATACACACACACACACACACACACACACACACACACACACACTGGCCGCTCCATGTTGCACTGTACCGAGTCTTGATACCAGATAATTGACTGCGCTGCTCTCAGAACCGTTGTTTGTCAGACAACAGAAGAAAGGAAGGCTTTTACAGATGCAGGAGAAACGGAAACAGAATGGCTTGTGGCACTTTGTTGGAAGCAGTGGGCCGATGTGTGCAGAGTTTGAAGGGAAAACACAGCCCTGGAGAAACATCAAGTATTTATAGCAAACCATTATTCACTGGTATTATGGCCGTACTGTAAAACATAGTGTGTGGAGAGTGTGGTTATGGGCTGTCTGACGTCAGTTATAAACCCCTCAGAGGACGATTTGAAGCCTGGAGTTTACTTTTCCCATTTGCTTCCAACTTTTGTAGTTACTTTAGCCAAAAAATACAAATTTGTGCAAAGAACATGGCGCCTGGGTGAAGATGAGGTGAAGATACAAGCAGCAGCCAACATATTATGTATTTTTCTTATTGTCATCAGATCCTGTGTGCAGAATCAACCCAACAGTGTGCTAGACCATCTCTTCACTTTCTGACTTCCCTCCTCTGTCCATTGGCTCCTATTGATGATGTAAATGTAATGTGATGTAAATCTTTAAAACACTAGTTTCATTTTGAACTAGAATCACCACCTCATGGTTGTATCCTTTCGCCAACCAGCCAAGCCGCAGGAGAAACCAAATCTTGCAAGGTTGAATGGTGAGTCCAGGTGGGTGGGGCTTGTTGCAAGGCTGAGGAAGGTGACTGATTTGTTGTGACATCACAAAGTTCCAGAAGTCCTGACGGCTGGTTTTAAGGCTCAGTGTCTGAATACAGGCTGTGTGCATTTCTCTGTGGACTGAGGCTTTGATACTTTCACAGTATTAATATAGAACCTAGACCTGATCTATAATCAAACAACACATGGACATCTACCTTTAGACTATATGGAGCTTTAATAGTTTTTGGAAACAATGGAACTCTATGGCTCAGAGGAAGAAGATACATCAGGCTTTGATATAGAGCTGCATTGGTTAGTTGTTTTATCGATTAGTCAAACAATCAAAAATTAATTAGAAACTATTAAAAAAGTCAGTTTAATTGATAATGAAAGTAATCATTAGTTGCAGCTCTAGTAGGAAACATCTTGATATCTTCTGACAGACATATTAAACACTGGGACTCCGAACTATTGTATTAAAAATATATTGACATTTTATTTTCTAAAGAGAAGCTGGAGCTTTTCAGATTCACTTCACCACACTAAATGTCATTTTGCAGGTTTGTGGGTTCAGCTTTCCAGCTGAGTCTGTTATCTCCATTGTGTCAGATTTGCCATCTTTTATTTTACCAAAATAGAATCAGTGAAGAGTTGGAAATGTTTCTTCAGCTCAAACTGTTTCATATTTGTTGTTAAGACAAACTGAGTTGGAACCAAAACATCTTCAGTCAAAGTTTAGTAATAGAAAACATCAGCACATTGACAACTGTTCCACCATCACAGCAGTCCAACCTGGACAAACAGTTATGGGTGACCTGCCCTGACAGACAGAAGTCATCTTCAGTCTGAAACACTCGGTTATTGACGTTCTGTCCGTCTCTGGTGTCGATCGTCTGTGAAGCACTCTGAGAACAAATGAAATCAATGGGTATGAATCTCTGCCTCTAATCTCCGCTGTGAATGTTCTGCACATGTTTGTCTTTCTGGCAGCTGGTTTGGACCATAGCTCTGTGCGCCACATGTTTGTGATGTGTCATTTTGTGGTGCATGGAGGCATTGATTCGGGATATACATCTGACACGACTGATCGTCTCCACAGTCTCTTAGATTGTGATTGTATCGATTGCTTCTCGTAGCGCACAGTTAGTCTCATCCAGCAGGTATGATTCAGATTTGATGGGTTGAATAATACCAGGCCTTGCTGCCACGATTCACATTTTATTTTAATTTCAAGGAGCTATATGTAGGTTTTCCTATTGCTACATAGCTAATGTTAGCATTAACAGCTGTTTAGCTTCAGTTGTTGTTACATTTACAAGTTCAAAGGGTATAATAAGTCCTCTGAGCAGCTACTTCGTCAG